ATTTACTACAAAGATACAAATGTAGGGATCTGAAGGGGTACATGCACCCCAATGTTTATAGCAGCAATGTCCACAATAGCCAAACTGTGGAAAGAGCCAAGATGTCCATCGACAGATGAATGGATAAAGAAGAAGTGGTATATATACACAATGGAATATTATGCAGCCATCAAAAGGAAAGAGATCTTGCCATTTGCAACGACGTGGTTGGAATTGGAGGGTGTTATGCTGAGTGAAATAAGTCAATCAGAGAAAGACATGTATCATATGACCTCACTGATATGAGGAATTCTTAATCTCAGGAAACAAACTGAGTGTTGCTGAGTGGTGGGGGGTGGGAGGGATGGGGTGGCTGGGTGATAGACATTGGGGAGGGTATGTGCTATGGTGAGCACTGTGAATTGTGCAAGACTGTTGAATCATAGATCTGTACTTCTGAAACAAATAATGCAACATATGTCAAGAAAAAAGAAAAAGAAGAAGATAGCAGGAGGGGAAGAATGAAGGGGAGTACGTCAGAGGGGGAGACGAACCATGAGAGATGATTGACTCTGAAAAACAAACTGAGGGTTCTAGAGGGGGGGAGGGTGGGGGGATGGGTTAGCCTGGTGATGGGTATTAAGGAGGGCACGTTCTGCGTGGAGCACTGGGTGTTATGCACAAACAATGAATCATGGAACACTACATCAAGAACTAAAGATGTAATGTATTGTGATTAACATAATAAAAAATTAAAAAAAAAGAAATTGACTCAACATTTACTATATAGAGTCGTTCTGAGTATTAGGATGAAGGAAATAGTCAATAATATTAACAGCAACAACAACAATAACCAGTTTTGCTAACATTTATTGAGCAGTAACATACCTTCATGAGTGCCTCTTTAAGCCCTGAGGATACACCAGAGACCAAAACAGAATCCTTACTTTCATGGAGCTTACATTTTAGACAGCACTACACGAATAAATATATGCCCAGAAGTGACAAGGACTTGGGAGAAAAAAACAAATCAGTTTAAGAGGAATAAAGAATACCAGTCAATAGGATGGGGGGGAACAGGAATGGACTGGTATTTCTCCCTAGTTCTTTCTATATTGGGCCATATGTTCTGTTCACTGCTACCCCATCCTGCCCATAGGAAGTCATGTTCTAACCAGGAAAGCAAGGGAAACTCCATATACTTAGGCCAAATAGAAAACAAAGTAACATGGTAATAAGCAAAAAAAAGGTGATATGACTTGGCATACATTTAAGCTTTAAGAAGGGAAAATTGGAGAGCACAGCTGTATATCAAAGTCATATTCTTAATATTGTTTTTGATTATTTGATTATAAAGAAAATAAATAATATATGATGTTGAAGAGGTTATCTGAAAAAGTGAAAACCATGCAGTTTTATTTGGTATTTAATCACTTAAGAAAATTCATTGCATTTTCTAAAGTTGGAAAAAATGTTCTACCAAAACTTGAAAAAGATAGTTCAGTAAAACTATAGACTAATTTCATATGAATATAGATCCAGAACTTCCCAATAAAATATTAGCAAATTGAATTAAGAAGTATATTAAAAGAATGACATGCCAGGAGAAATTTGCTTTGATTCCAAAAATGTAAGGATGGTTCAACATCAGGACATCTATCAACATACTTCCTAAGTCAACTGATCAAAGGAGAAAGCTCATATAATTTTTTATCAATAGATGCAATAGAAAAAGGACTTAAAAGATTCAGCTGCCATTTCCAGCAAAAATTCAATGTAAAATCAGATTAAGATAAAGTCAATTTCTAAGATTGCTGATGATTTAAGACTCAACTCTTCACTTTATAAAAGTGAAAGATTTACAAGGTTGCTTATAAAGGTTTAGAGGTTGCTACACTGAAGTCTTGAGTACAGTTGAGGACTAATAGAAAATAAAACATAAAAATAGCTAAGTTATGTAACTGTGATGCCACAAAAAAACTTTGATGGTGATGACTCAAGCACAGCCCCACCTTCCACAGCTAAAGCAGAATGAAAGATAACAGGTATGCAGTTCTCAGTCTTCATGTGGCAGAGAAGTCACTCGGCTCAGACTGAAGCCACCCTCTGTGGCTGCCGGATTTTGTCCATGCATTGTGTTACTAGGGTGTGCACTCTTAGTGTTGCTCATTTACAAGTCTGATAATAACCCAGAGTGAAAAGAGTTGAGTCTTAATCACCATTATCACCTATTTATGAAGGTGGATCTGTCTTTGGTCTGCTTAAATCAAACCATAACATATATATATATATATATATATATATAAAAACATCTTATGGAAGAAAATAAAATAATAATGATGAGTACTATTTATTGAGTTCATATTAAGTTCTAAGAACTGCTCTCATTCAATGCTTAATCCAGCCCTACCAGAGAGATGCTATTACTATCCCCATTTCATAGGTAAGAATACTGGGAATTGAGAGTATAAGTAACCTTCCTAATATTACATATGAAGAGGAGCTGGGATTCACCCCAAAGCAATATGGTGGTTCCAAGAGCCCACGCTGTTCTCAACTTCTTTACACTGAAACAAATAGAGAATATGCTGTCTTCCTAGATGGAAGGACTTAATTCCACAATAAGTCAATCCTTCCAAGGTTGGCATATACACCTAACATCGTTCAAATCAGAATGGCAATAATGTTTTGTTTCAAACCGGATAAAATGATCTCAAGTTATATAAAGAAGGCTAAATGGTAGAACTAGCCTAGAAAATTGTCAAAGAAAAAAATACTGAGGTGACATCTTCTTCAGTATTTCAACTTACTATAAAGCCACTGAATTACAGCACTATGGTGTTGGCATAATAATAGACAAATGATTGTTTGAGCAGACTAGACTTTAGATACAGATACAAGTAAACATGGGAGCTTGACATTGTAGAAGCAATGTTTTATTTCATTAGGAAATAATGGTTTACTTTAAAAATGGTACTGGCCTGACAGTCTATGTGTAAGAAAAAAAAAAGATCTTTTTATTATATCATAACTAAATTCCAAGAAATTAAAATTTTCATGTTAAAAAAATAGGTTAGAAAAATAATTTTATATAATTTAAAGATTAGGGGGATCTTTCTAAAGGAAAAAACAAAACAAAACCAAAAACAGAAACTCAGAAGCCTTACAATAAAAACTAGGGGCACCTGGGTTGCTCACTTGGTTAAGCGTCTGCCTTTGGCTCAAGTCATCATCCTGGGGTTCTGGGACTGAGCCCCATGTCTAGCTCCCTGCTAAGTGGGGAGCCTGCTTCTTCCTCTCCCTCTGGCTTTCCCCACTCTGCTCATGTTCTCTCTCTCAAATAAATAAATCTTTAAAATTAAAAAAAAAGATAAAGAAAAGATAGTTATATTTAGCTAGAAAATAAATTGTTTCTTGCAAGGCATAAGACTCCCTCAAAAAAAGAAAAAAAGTTAAATTCCAAGAGATAGATTGGAAAAATTCATCTGTAACACACATTATAGAAAAATAGATTTCCTCATAATATACAAAGACTTCTAATATTTTAAGATAAAAAGGTAGTTCAATAGAAAATAATGTATAAAATATGGATAATTTAAAGAGGAAGATATGCAAAGGGTCAATAATATTTGGAAATATTTATACCTCACCAAAAAAGCCAAGAGAATGCAAACTAATTAGAGAAATAAAGTAATAATTAAGAAAAATAATTAGAGAAATAATAAAGTAATAAACAAGCAAAAACTAAAACAAGTGGTAATTTTACTAGTTTGTGAGGATGCAGATCATGGACATTCTTTCATTGTCTGCGATAAAGTGAATTACCTCAACCTGTTAGAAAGTAATCCCTCAATAATGGTTAAAATTAAACTTTCCCTTTGATTTAAGAGAGAAACATGTTGGTCAGTACTTCTCAATAATTTTTCTGTTACTTTTTTCTGACTTTGATTTTGTTTAGAGTTACAAATATGGATATCCATATATATTGCTCTGTGGAAATTCTTTTAAATATTCAAAATAACCATATGCTAAGGAAAAAAATGTACTCTAATCAGCTGTGACTGCAGTTACTTACTGAACTCCATTTCTGTGTGCATGGCATTAAATGGGTATACAGTTTTGGCCCTGCCATCTAGAAGCTTACTAAGAGATGAAATGTATACACTAAAATTTAAGGAACGTTGCAAGACAATGATAAGAGAGGAACCAGAATAGTATGTAAAAAAAGTGATTTCTTAATGGTCCAGATACATTTTTCTAGGGTTCTTTTACCCCCAAAGCATGAGTGTGTTAACCACTACGGCCTTACAAAATTTAGCAAAAAAAAAGGAATATTAAACATTGTAGTATTCCATTACAAAATATTTATTTTTTTCTGGGGTTCAGGTCCACGTGTTAGTTAAATAGGATCATCTTTTGCTTGCCTTTTTAAAGGCTTCTCTCTTATCTCTGAGAATAGAAGTTGCTATTGCTTTACTTTCTGCATTATGCACATGTGAGATTCAAGAACTCAATTATGCATCCTCAGAAAATGCAAAGAATCTTCACCCACCCTCACCATCCAAAAAAAAAGTAGTGACATATTTAGAGTACATACTAACAATGCAAAGCGGGGAGTTCTGATGTTTCATTTAATTGAGTTATAAACAAGAAAACTGTCAAATCCTGCCGCTGCCCCACGGATGCATGCGGATGTGTGAATTTCCTCCATGTGTGTACTCTGTGTCCTTTAGAACACCCACAGTGGAGATGAATCACTAAGGTGTGTATTAATCTGACAGTCCTAGAAAGTATCACGACAAAAAGCCAAACCCAGGAAACAGCATTTCATTTAGTTCCTGGTGTATGCTAATTGATCCCAAACCCTTCATTACTGTCTAGTGCAAAAGGCTAAGTCGAAAGGAGGCATTTAGAAAGTGACTTAAGTGAAAACAAGGCACGGCAAAATTTTAGGTCTTGTGAACTTCACTTGCTCTGTTCCTGTGTTGTCACACTGATTCTAAATTTATCTTTTATTTCAGGTCACTTGGAAACCCCCCCTCATGCAGAATGGAGACATACTTAGCTATGAGATCCGCATGCCTGATCCTCACCTCACAATAACCAACGTTACTTCCTCCGTGTTAAGTCAAGTAATTACTCATCTGATTCCTTTCACTAACTACTCTGTCACCATTGTGGCTTGCTCAGGAGGTAACGGGTACCTAGGAGGGTGCACAGAGAGTTTACCTACCCATGTTACCACCCACCCCACCCTACCTCAGGGCATTAACCCATTGTTGGCGATTCCACTAAGTGAATCGTATGTTGGGATTTCATGGCAGCCACCATCCAGACCAAACGGACCCGATTTGAGGTAAGAGAAAGTGACTGTGCTTTTGGATTATGCTATGGTCTTATCTCCGAAGGAAGGAAGGAAGGAAAAAGGAAGGAAGGAAAGAAGGAAGGAGACTTTTACTCACGTGTGAATGTAGAACTAATTCCTAATTGGTACCCCCTACTCATAACTTGAATACGATTTCGTATTGTATATCTCTACTTACATGGAGCCATAAAAGTTCGAGATAGAAATATAATTTTATGAAGCTCTAAAACCCCTTGAAACAACAATCACTGTTCTCTAACAATTCTTGATGTAATCCTCTTGGTTTTCAGAATATATTTTTATTATATGTTAGACAAACTTGATGCATGTTCTAAATGATACATTTACACAAAAATGTCTCAAAATTCCAAAGCTAACACAATCATTCTCTGGCAGGGTATTATTATCTGGAAACTTGTAAAGAATGTGGTCAGGGATATAGATAAGAGGAAAGAAAAGTGTGTGATTCTGACATAGCTTTGTAACAACCTCAACTTGACACTTAGCCAAGAGTAGCAAGCTGATAATATTATTATTTATAAAGCACTGATGGGTTGATGTCTTAGGAAACCATTAACTTAAGCATTTTGTATTTCCACTTTGTGTGAAACTGGCTATAAAGTTTTGGCAAATCTGAAATAGAAGAAATCTAAAATGTTATCATTCTTACTAATAATAGTAACATGTGAATGTAGCTGATTGTTTCAAAATAATTGAATACCTGAAACTTGAGCCAGAAGATAGTGATTATCTGGAGGAAAAAAAAAAAAAAAACCTCCGTGATTGTAAATTAAGATTTTTTTTACGTTTATGTGCACACACCAGACACTCATACCATGAAACAACATGAATTTTGGTAATAACATTAGTTGAGATAATCCCCATGTTTCTGCTTGTCTTTTGCTTTAGATATGAGCTTCTGAGACGTAAAATCCAGCAACCACTTGCATCAAATCCCCCAGAAGATTTAAATCTGTGGCACAATATTTATTCAGGAACTCAGTGGTTTTATGAAGATAAGGGTCTTAGCAGGTGAGATTACAAAAACTATAAAAACAAATGCTGGCATTTGGTCTTGGGCACGTTGACCAGTTCAGAGCATCTTCTTGTCTTCATTGTGCATGCATGTTATCAGTTGTGCAATAAAACATGTTTGGTGATTATCTGTGGCATTAATCATCGAACTGCAACAGTCAGCATGTTTCATGTTTGCCGTCTTAACTGTACGCTTAAAATAAGCATTTTGAAGTCAAACTTGTACATGTTTGAGTCTTAACCTATTGCCTTTGTCACAGCTCTAGCGAGACATGAAAACTTAATAGAGGAATTTGGAAAAACTGAATATCTACAAAACGGGCTGGGGGAGGGGGAAGATGACTGGGCACTTACCAAATGCTTACTCCTTCTGGAAAATAATTGTTACAAGTCACTGATGCAGCCCACAAAAAAATTACTTAGTTAGCATGCCTGGGACTTGAAAGAATTCAGCCTAGGGTTTAAAGGAACCAGGAGAAAGGCAAACAGGCAATGTCCACAAAGAGCACTACATGGGAGAGCCCGCGGACCTCGGTGGGTTTCACCCTGTGCTGGAGAACCAGGTTTGGGACTTTATGCAAGTCACGTAACTTCTCCAGCCTTAACTTTGGATGTCGATAAAATTAAGAGATTGAATGGGATTAAATGATTTCTCAATCAATGTAATCAAATCGCCAGAAAAAAAAACCCACAAATATTGTTTTATGAATCCTTTTCAGACATGTTTTTCAATAACTTTTCTATCAGCTTCATTATTTTCCTGGACCCACCACTGACTCGCTCTACTCTGAACGCTGTTTACAGCTCTGGCCTTGCCTCTCCCCTCTTCCTCACCTAGGCTTGTCCTGGCCTCATTCACACCACTTTCAGGGCCTGTGATGTGCCACACGTCCTCGCTGAGCTTCTCCCCCTCTCTGCCCTCTCCCTTTGTCTGACTAGATTATCCATCACACATTGACCGGGAAATTTCCTAGCGGGCTTCCCTGCCCACTCTTCCTGGTCTGACTCAGCTGCCCCTTAAAGTGTTCTTACAACACCCTCACATAGCACTCGTGTCGGTAATGTACTGGCCTGGTGACTTGTCTGGACACCCCATTTTGTCATCAGATCCACCCTGAGGCAAGGCTTTGCCCTCATGACTTCTGCACCCTCGGTCCCTAGCATCCTGTCTGCACATCGTGGGCCCTGGAATAGTTGTTAAATGAAAGAATATGTTAACTCAGTGAAGGGTGGGTTATTTCATTTCTCTGTGCCTTAGGAATGTTAATTGTAGTGTTATTCTCTTTGGGGAATGGATAAAATTAAGGAAAATTCCCATCCATCTTGAAGGATTGTGATGGAAAAACCTTACAGATATAGTAAGGTTCTTGGGGGAGGGGGGAGGCAGCACATGAATCTGATGAAGCAATAGAGTAAACCACATGAAATTGCCATTTCTGTAAGTCAACCTAAATTATCATGGTCACTCGACTATTCTGCTTTACTTCATCCAACATCATTCTATAATTATCACTTCAGTTGAAGAAATTTATGTATTCAGCAATTTCTTCTTGCTTACTGTCTGCTGAAAGGCACTGGGATAAGACAAAAATGAATTCAGTGTAACCCTTGGCCTCAAAGACCTTACTGTCTAGTGGAGGAAAACAATCCGCACCCATGGCTGTGTGTGTACTAATTGCTTTTTTTTTTTAAGATTTTATTTATTTATTTGAGAGAGAGAGCATTGGGGGGGGGCTCGATCCCAGGACCCTGGGATCACGACCTGAGCCAAAGGCAGATGTTTAACCAACTGAGCCACCCAGACACCCCCATATTAATTGCTCTCATCCCAGTTCACTACTTAGTCACCAACACTCACTAGGGAAATCATATAGAAAAGTAGCTTTCTATGATCTGTGAACTCTGAGTGCCTTAAATATACCATTTTCCAAAATAAATAGACCTTGACTATTTAACATGACTGAGTCAGATGTTTAGCCATGAGATGTTTGTCTGAAAAAGGGAATAAACCTCAGAGAGTTAATGTTTCTTTGTAGAAGAAAGGAAAAGTTATAAAAGAGAGCCAAAGCCAAACACTTATTATTGAATTTTTAGTTATGCCTCTAAGAATTTTTAATAAGTCCAAATCTGAGATTTAAGAAAAGAGATATAGTTAAATCCCCACAAATCAAGTTGCAATGTAAGGGGACATAAACACGTGGATGAAAACTGCTTCTGGAAGGGAAGTACACATCTGACAAAATATGCTGAGCGGTATTTTGACTAGCCTCATAATGCTAAATGTCAAAAGATTTTTTTTTCCTGCTAGGACTAGCAAAAAAAAAAATTACTTTTTATTCAAATAACTGCTATGACCCATCTAAGCAGTTTGTGGTAAAAAACAACAACAACAACAAAAAGAAAACAAAAAAACCAATATGCATTTCTTTTTAATATTAAAAATAAATGGTGTGAGTCTTCATATGATGAGAACATTTTTTTCTAGCCCTGTACCCTTTGTAAGTCCAAAAATAGTCTAGCGGCCCCTTCAGCCCATGGTGGGTTCTCTCACAACTCCGAGAGAAAACTGGAAATTAGTCCACTGGTGGGCACTGTGTGCCGCGACCGTTTTCCTGTTAAGAAGTGATCTTTCTCTGTAGAGGCAGGGCTGGCCACCCCTCCTGGTAAACCAGCAGTCTCTCAGATTGCAGAGGGGAGGACCTGAGCTCTCAGCTCACTTTGTTACACACCTGTCTCGCAGCTCCTTAATGACCCTACCCTTTGGCTTTTGTCTTCTTGACTTATTTGTTTGGTTGCTATTTTGGGGGGTGGGGAGGAGTAATTGAATTCTAATGCCTTTAAGAGGAACAAGTAATTTCCTATTCTCCTCAGACTCCATCAATCCTTCTTTCTTTCTTATCTTACATATACATAAATAAGTGGAACACTGAAGTGTCTCTCCCCATTTTGACCTGATATCACCATAGCTACATCTAGAATCAGTTTTTTAAATGGCATGTCTCTTGATATAAAAAGTAAAATTAACTTAAGATTCACTGGGCACCCCTTTATGAATGTATCTGTGAGTGTAAATATAAATTGAAGTCAATTTCCTTGGTCACGTGATCTATTTTGGTTAGCTATATGTTTATGATAGAAAACACACCAATTTAATCTAAATTGTTATTATATTCTGAAGTTCAAATCATTCTAGTAATTATTTTTCCCGTTATAACTCCATGTACAGAATAGAATATTGAGCTAATTAGATAACTTAGTTTAAACAAAAATAGTTTTGTTCTTATGATTATCTTAGGTAAGGGGTGATTTTGTCTGAGTTACACAGTTAAGTTGCCTCATTATTGAATTTTTACTCTGTGTAGACATGAACTCAGTGTAACTGTAGGTTTATATGATTTGTCAGTTTCTAACTTTTCTTCCTTAATAATTCTGTGCAAAATAGCCAAGTTATGGTTGTTGGGGGAACCATAACTTTGGGTTCCCTGACATTTTCATCACTTGGAAAACCTGGTGAACATGCTGTTATCATCTGATGCTGAGGTGAGCCAGGCAAGGTTTAATGGGGGGCAGCGACCTCCTCATTGTAAGCATCAGCCCACCCTTATGAATTCCAGTGCTTTGTTTTCTGAGGGATCAGATAAAACTACCAAGAACACAGTGACGGCATGTCCTCCTTTTTGCTCTGAATTTGATGCAGGAGGAACAAGTTATAAGAAATAATAGGGTTTTTTCTATTTTAAGGAAAATGTTCACTTGTAGATAATAGTGACTTAGCTTTGATTAAGTTTATAAAGGGAGGTATGTTCTAACTCCTGTTCCTTTCTTTTATTTATAAATTTCTAAATGTACTTCTTTGCAATGACAGTCTGGAAAGAGACATCCATGTGACTCCTCAAGGATCCATTAATTCTTTTTTTTTAATTTTATTATATTATGTTAATCACCATACATTACATCATTAGTTTTTGATGTAGTGTTCCATGATTCATTGTTTGCGTATAACACCCAGTACTCCATTCAGTACGTGTCCTCTTTAATACCCATCACCAGGCTAACCCATTACCCCACCCCCCTTCCCTCTGGAACCCTGTTTGTTTCTCAGAGTCCATAGTCTCTCATGGTTTGTCTCCCCCTCTGATTCCCCCCCTTCATTTTTCCCTTCCTGGTATCTTCTAATTCTTATCTTTAAATGAAAGTATTCAGGGTGCCTGGGTGGCGCAGTGGGTTAATTGTCCGACTCTTAATTTCAGCTCGGGTCATTATCTCAAGGTCCTGGGATTAAGTCCCACGTCGGGCTCCATGCTCAGCGGGCAGTCTGCTTGAAGATTCTCTCTCTCTTTGTGCCCCTCCCCCCCACTCCCTCTAAAATAAGTAAATAAACCTTTTTTTAAGATTTTGTTTATTTATTTGACAGAGAGATATGGAGAGCCAGAGAGCACAAGCAGGGGGAGCGGCAAGCAGAGGGAGAAGCAGTCTCCCCACTGAGCAGGGAGCCCGATGAGGGGCTCGATCCCAGGACCCTGGGATCATAACCTGAGCCAAAAGCAGACGCTTAACCATCTGAGTCACCCAGGTGCCCCATAAATAAATATTTTAAATAAATAAATGAAAGTATTCAAAATTAAATATTCATCTTATTTTCAAAAAATAGTTGGACTTGAGTGTTTTAAAATTAAATTCTTTAGCTAAATATATCATAAAATCTAAGTTTAAATTTTACTGGCATAGATTCTAATTTTTTTTTAAACCTTCCAAAATGAAATGTTTCAAGCCCTAAAAGAGGATGTAGTTTCTGGGGGATAATATTCAAAAGAATATGCCTTTCATTCCCCTCCTTTGCAATAAGAGCAAATGTACGGAGAGGACACGTCCTGTTTTGCTAATATGGAAAGACTGGGCCAGTTCCATGAGACCTGTTCCTATAGAATAAGTATATTTAAGTTGTAGCTGTTAAGTAAAGAAGTTAACTTTGGACACACAGAGGGGTGAGTGGAAGG